AACTACTTTTAGTACTATAAATCAATATTATATGAATATGCTACAATACCTTCTTCATTGTTGTTTATTGGAATTGTTCATGAAGATTCTGGTATTGTATTATCTGATTTAATTGGTTGTAGTCAGTGAGGCAGAATAACCTAAAGTTTATTCAAATATGCTGAGGTAAAATTATTCCATTCTCCAATATAGAGCAGTTGATACATACTAATATATTCATTATATCTACCCTTGGCAGGCCATTTCTAATAGAATAATTTAGAAATACCCTTAATGATTTTGATTTTAGTTTTTTCTACATTATCATCACAATCTAGTTCTATGTTTGCTATGACAGTTCCAGACAGATTTTTAACCATCTTGCTTATATTATCTTCTGTCTTCAAATCACACCTGATTTATAAATATCGCTTTATTGCATGCATAATCTTAGAATAGTAGTAAATGTATAAGATTTTGTAATTAAAATATGTAATACTTTAATCTAAAAATATGTATATAATACAAGATACTAACCATTGCATGATGTGAATCAACAATTGTTTTTGCTTTCCCAGGTTCTAAAAATAACTAACCACGAACTTCGATATTATACCATTTATGCCAATATCCGACTATAATTATTAATTCAGAATTATAATAATAGGGTCTATTGTTGGATATTACTTTAATCTATTTCGGCTTTTTATTCATTATTTCAAATATGACCTCAAATGCAGAAACTGTAAACCAAGCATTATGCTTGGTATCTATTGACCAGTGATTGTATGCTCTAATATCTAATTCTGTATTACTTATTTATTAAAAGCCAAAATTGTATACAGAGTCTAACTATGTTTTTTGTAAAATTCAGATTTTGTTTTACATACAAATTTGGGCAATATTTACATTTTATAATCAGCAATAAAGAGTGCATCATCGAAGTCAAGCTTAGCCAATATTGCTTTAAATTAAGCATTTAGGTATATCTTTCAAGTTTGATGTGAAAGATAATATAACAATTTTTCTTTTGATTCTGTGATTTGCTTATGAATACTTGAAGGTACTGATTCATACATAAATTTTACAAAATCAAATAGTTGATTGCAATCAGGGCATCTTGTTTCATGACTATATATGCATTCATCGAATGCATAAGATAAACAGTGAGAAATACAGTGATTATGTTCAACACAACCATCTATTTTAACTGTTAACTCTTTTTTATTACCTCTTTTCATATATCTTTTGAGTTTCTTAAGATGTTTTAAGGCTTTATTCTGATAAAAATGATTTGTAGGTAAATAATATGTTAATAATATAAAAATTAAATAATAATAATAATAATTAAGCTAACCAATCTTAAAATCTTTATTTATCAAATTAGTTAGTATCATTTTTTCCAAAAGTTTAAAAGTTTCATATCTGTAATCATTGCAAATTATATATAAACCTCCAAGATCTTCATGGTATTTAAGGTTTATTGAGTCAGCAAGCTGTACTATAAATGTAGTTCTTTTTATACTACTCAAATAGAATTCACTAAACTTATTCTATAATTTACTTTTTTGGTCAAGTAAATAGAGAATCAGTAATTCTGTTTTTTTATCTATATTATACAAACTCATTTTAACATTATCTTTATTCTGAAAAAATAATATAAACTGTTCTTTTTGAATATTAGAAAGTCTTTCAACAGTTCTTTTAAGTTTATCCAATAATGGTGCATCTGGATTATAAAGCCGTACATGTTTTTTGGCTTTATTAATGGTGTCATTTCCAACCTATTAAGATAAAATTTTATATTAATATTAGATTATTTTATTAATATTATATGCAGTTACTTATACCTAGTGTTGGGTTTGAACATTGGACATGAACATTGAATCACCTATATTTAGTTCAATCTAATCAATTGAACCAGATATATTGAACATTGGATATTGTCCAATAGTAATATAATAAAAAAAAATTATTAATATATATATATTAATATATATTTTAATTTAATCTTATAATATATTCTTTAATTTAATTTTGCAATATTTAATAATATTAATTTTGATTTAATTTTGAAAGCTTTTACATTGCTTTTCCTATTGATCCTAAGCTGTTTTCATCTTTTTTGATTAACTTTTATCATCTTACTTTCATAGCCTTTATTACTGTAGCATTTTTAAAGAAAAAGAACCCAAAATTGAAGGAAAACATCCATGTCATTTTCGTCACTTTAGTTTTTCTACTTATTAATACAATTGCATTTCATTTATTACAGCTACACTTAACCCAACAAGGTAATATTATCTTGATACCTGTTAATCTAAATAGAGCTTAGCTTCACAAAATCGGTATTGTTACTTAACAGATTTGTTGCAGGTAGTTAAATTTTTGCAACGTTTCATGACAATTTTGTGCACAATGTTCAGGTACATTCTACCTCTAACAATACTTAAAAAAGTATTTTTTTTACTAAGTAAATCAAACTTAGTAGATGAAATTCAATTTGTTTAATAAAAAATCTTATTTTCTTGCATATGTTCAATTTACTATTTTATCTACATTTGCCATTTTACCCATATTTGCTATTTTACTCACATTCACCATTTTACCCACATTCATCATTTTACCTACATTTGCCTATATTTTAAATAAAGTTCTGTTTTTTTTTTTTTTTAATATGCATATTCTGACTAAATGGGTTTAAAACTGGAACAATTCAAATTAGTAACATTAAATTAAAACTGAACCTTATCATTATACATTCAAAAAGTATTGAAGTACAAACTGAAAGGGAACATGCTTCTAGAAATAACTATAGCTATACTGAATATCACTTTCATTAGTTGAATTCACAATGTATAGATATAAAGATCCACAAAATAACAAGATTCAGCATGGGTGGAAGAGCTTGAGCATGAATTTTGCTTTTTGTATTTGATGAGATGCTACTTGCCCATATTTGTAAATTTTCTATTTAATATAATTAATAAGATTATTATTAGCCTAATAGTCCAAAACAGGAAGTTAATTAAATTTTAACTATCTGAAATGCATGTGCTTCTCATACAATGCTAGATTCTTTGTTTGCTTGATTTGTGTTAGTTCTGGTTTAATTGGTGTTTTGGTTTGTGCAACTTAGCAGGTTCTCAACTGGCATATCTTAGCTTTTCTATTTTTTTGACATATCAACTCAAATTAAATTTTTTGAATACCAGTTTTCGTTTACTTTAAATAACCATTAATTAAAAATATTAATCAATTTTAATTTGTCTCTAATATGTTTAATGCTCGGTTGTAAAATAAGATTATTTTTAGCAATTGTTAAAGTTTTTTTTATATCTTAGTAAACCTGATTGAATATCATACATTCTTTAATATATACATATAATCATTAATTCTATAAATTACTTTTTAGACTTTAAAAATTAATATTTTTAAAATCTAACTAAAATTGGAATTTTAAAGTAATGAAATCTTTTTTCAAATTATAATAGTATTGAAATAGCCTTATAATAAAAATTTTAAATAAATAAAATACCAAAAGAGTCTTCATTTAAAAACTTAGAACTTAGAATTAATAACTACACTTGCATATGATTTGCATATAATTTTTATACTTTAATGATGATATTTTTATTTGATAGTATGAAATAGTTTTTGTCATTTATATATATAATAAGTATTTTCATAGTGATAGCAAAATTTTAAGTTTACTGATAACATTTAGCAATTATAATGAAAAGAAAAAGGCCCAAACAACATCACTTAATAGTGTATATAAAGGTTTTAAAGGAAAAGTCTAACACTTGTAACCATTTTACTATTTGCTTAGCATGCAAAGAATCAAAAAGTTTTGATTATGCATATGCAAATAAGTTTGTTAATACAAAGTGGCTTGTTAAGTTACATCTAAAAAATTGCAAATATTTTAAAAACCTTAAAGGAGAGCATGAAGTTACAAAAATTATAAATAATTCAGATAGTGAAAAAACAAAAAGCTAACAAAAAAAGCAACAATATATTTGTAAATACTGTATATAAATTTTTATATTATATTTTGTTATTTTAATATTAATTTTTAGATATATAGCTAAAATTTTATTATATTAGTTAGTAGTGATGAATTTAATAGTCAAGCTTCCAGCAAAGATAATTTTGAGGTTGAACAAGAATCTTAAGGTCCATTAGATCCTTATATTATGCATAAAATTTCTAAAACTGAAAAATCAAAATTTAATTATTTACTTTTGAAAATGATGATATCCAATAGATAGAGTTTTTGATGAGTTGAAAATTCAGATTCATTGGCTCTCTTTAAATTTATTAATCTAAAAATTACTCTTCCTACTCATAAATATTTAAGTAAAAAAAATTTAAATGAGATGGTTACTGAATTTACATCAAGAATTAAAAAAAACAGCAAAAAAAGATGAAATTGAAGTTATCATAACTATGAATAGTTGGACAAATGTTGTTAAGCAAAACTTATTAGGCAGCATTTTAATTACTTCTTCTGAAAAACCTCTAATTTGAAAAGCTTAAGATGTTAGTAGCGAATAATCACATGCTAGTGATGTTATTTTAAAAGTAAAAGAGTTATTCAATAAGCTAGAGTCTTTGAAAATTAAGACCATTGCCTTAGTAACAGATAGTATAGCAGCTTATGCAGCAGCCAGGTAATTAACTAATAAGATAGTTTTTTTTACTTTATATAAAATAACAAATCAACTATTTTGTAGAAGACAATTACAAATAAAATATAAGATAAAGTTTTTTTATCTTGTTTCGCACACCAGATTAATTTATATATCAGTGAAATTTTTAAAGAATTATTAGCATTTAAAAATACTATTGATAATGCAATTGCTATAATGATATATTTTGGAAATATTAATAATGCATATTTTATTGGCAAATTGTATGAACAGCAAAATATTTTATATCACAAATATGTTACTCTTATTAAACCAAGTGTAACCTAATAGAATTCTTATTTTTATTGTCTAGGAAGTATTTTAAAAATGAAGAAAGCCCTTAAAGTAAGTGTTAATATTAAAAATTAATGCATTGTAATTTATAATTTAATTTTTTTTTTTATTTAGATGTTGGTTGCAAAATATGAACCTCGTAATAATGATTTAAGTGAAGAATCATTTAGTTTTCAAAGCACTGATGAATTAATACTTTCTGATAAAATATGTAGTATTATTAATAATGAGAATTGGTGATGACAAATAAGAGATATAAAATATCTATTATTACCTTATTGTTCTTGTCTTAATTTGCTACAACATAATAAGGCATAACTCTTTGAAGTATTATATTTATTTGGTATTTAGCTCAAGTATTGAAAGGGTATTATAATATTGACCTTGGTCAGCGACTTTTGAACTGTTTAGAAAAACAATGGCAATCCTAGGAACAACCCTTGTTAATATTATTTTTTGTTTTACATCCAACCTATCAAATAGAAAAGTTTAATACAGCATTAAAAACTTTAATATAAGTTAATATAGAAGAATACATTTTATACTATTATTATGTATAGTTTTATTAACAACCCAATTCAATTTTACAAGAACTTGAATTTTTTTGCTAAAAAAAATCTTCATTTAATACAGCTACGTCAAAACAATTTGGCAATGATGTTATCAGATATTGGAAGTACTGTACATCACGAGTCAAGTTGCATTATAAATTCATGAGATCTGTGTAAATGCTGCTTCTATTAAATGCTTATGGTTTTCGATGGAATTTATCTATTCTAATAGATATAATAAGTTGCAGGTAGCCAATTTGATTATTATTATTTCATATATGAGTAATAGAAAAAGAAAACCTGTAAATCATGCTTTTTGAATATTTTTAGTAAAAATATTTTAAAACCAAAATCTTAAATTCAAAAAGCATTATTTACTAGTTTTCTCTTCCCATTATTTATGTTTATATATGCAACATATTTTTAATTATATCTTTATTACAGTTTCAAAAAGTATTAGCAATTAGTCAATTATGTAGAATACTTACTCAAAATCATAGAATTCAAGAATTGGATAAGCTTAAAAGGCTTTATGAATTAACCTCAGCACCTTTCTTTTTAGATGATTCTAAAAGTATACTAAGTACTTTTTCTACATTCCAAGATACTGAAGCTGAAATTGATAGTTCTGAAAATGAAAATACTGATAATGATAAATATACTATAGAATTATAGTTATCAACATTAAATGAAGATAATTCAGATGACGATAAAAATTATTTGGATGAATATGAAGAATCATATAATATATTAAGATTGGATTGTGATATAAACAAATTATTAACTGATCAAGAACATCTGGTAAAAGATAGACAGACCAAGTGGCTATTAAATGATTTATTTTCAGCCAATTTAGAGGCATTTTTTTTTGTAGCCAACATTTAAGTATTTATTATGCTTTTTTGTTAATAACATAAGTAAATAAAAATTTAAGTAACTCAAGACACATACCTATTTCTAATCTTTATGCTACTTAATTTATTTTTATTATTAATTTATTGGAACAATTCTTAAAATTTCAAGCTATATATAACAAAATTATTATGTGAATATTATTGTTTAATAAAACATTTACTTTATTGGACTTGGTTCCTGGATGATTAGTTCAACAAGAATGTAAAAATGCAAATTGACTCATCAGTTCAATTGATTAATTGTTTTTTTTTATAATATAAAAGCCATCAATCCATTTTGTATCTCTAATTTTGTATAATGATAATGTATATTGTTTATCAGATTTTAAAGAAAAATGATATTAGAAACTATTATGCAAATTCAGATTCTTGAGAGAGGTTGAGTTTGATAAAGCAAAAATTAGTTATGTTTTATAATTTAATTTAATTCAAGTAATTTTTTATCTAATCTAACATAACTTCTGTTATAGTTTATGAAATTGCACTGTTATTATCACTGTAGTATGTCTAATTGTAGATAATAAATGAATATAAAATAAAACTTATAAAATTGTTTCTTTTATTGTAATATCGAACATAAATATTTGTATTATGGTTTATGTTTATAAATAGCATTAATTCAAAACCCTAATGCTAATTAAATATTATATCGCTCTGCCTTGACCTAAATTCATTATTCAAGTACATTGTTTATGAACTATATTCTTTACAAAGTCAAAATGTAATATGATGATTTGTCAATAAAAATTTAGTAATATGATTGGCTGTAAATCACATGGCTTTGTCGATCCTACGATTTGGATATTATTGGACTGGATTATGTCCAACTTATATGAACAATATCCATGTCCAGTCCAATAGTATAAAAATAATTGGACATATGTCCAAGCCCAACACTGCTTACACTTAATTCATTTTTAAGAATGTTGTATTTAAAGTTTAGAGTGATAATTGAAAGCATGTGAATTTTATCATCAGACTTTCTTTTATTGGAAGTTAGTATATCCTGAAAGCTATTCCAAAAAATTGAGTTCTAAGAGCTTTATACTAGTTGTAAATTTTGTGTTAATGTTAAAGTTTCATTTAATTGAATAATAATATTATTTTTATAGAGGTTTTCTAATAATTCTTTGTCAGAACTAGGATCTGATACATTGTTCCAAAACTTTATTGACGATATCTTTTTTGAAACAGGCATTATATTGGTACATCTGCAGGCAACAAACATTGCTCACTATGCACATAACTCTTTGTCTTGAAAGCTATAGGTGAGAGAGTAAATTTCATATAATATATACAAAAATTAAATGACTAAGCTTTTTTGTTTACACTAATTAGAAAAAAGATATGGCTAATAAGCCACTACACTAGGAATCTTTCGTGATTTTATATAACGGTTGAAGATTTTTTCAAGTTGCTCTTTATTTATTTAATTATTTACAGTATATACTGGTGATTTACTCTTTAATGTCTTGATATATTTCCAAACTAATTTACTAGTTATTCCAAAAAGATATGTTTTAGTATACTTTTTAAAAAGTTCTATCTCATTCCAAACTTCATCTAAAGTTTTTTCTTTAATCTCCTTTTTATACATTAACTCTAAATAAATTTCTAAACTACACTTATTTTCTTCAATTTTTAGAACAAATAGATGCTGTTTGCTTTGATAATGTGCTGTAAATGAAGAAACAAAACCAGTGCCAACTTTATGAAATTTGTCTTTATTTAGATTACCAATACTTGATATTATGACATTAAGTCTTTCTATATTAAGAAATATTGGAAAAAATTTTATATTAGAGATTAGTTGTTGAATAATATCTTTATTTTCGAAGCCTATAATAGCTAGCTCAGAATATTCAGTTTTTGTTTTAAAAACTTCTTGATAGCATGAATTAATTGCTGCTAACAGAAGCGATTTAATTTTACTTTTAATTGAATTATAGGTATATTAAAAACCTGACTTTAATAGATTTTTATTGTCTAGCAAAACAGTAATAATAAAGTTCTTTTGATTAAGTATATATTCAATATATATATATAAGTAATAAGATAATACAAACTGTTTTATTTTAGTTTCCAATTTTATGCTAACTGTTTTTCACCAAACTTTGGACCAAGCTCCATAATGTAAGTTAGAGTTTATAATACCCTTACTTAAAATTTTTGTAGTAAACTGTTGCCTTTTTGGCATTTTTTTTTTTTTTTTGTGTTATAGAGAAGAGTATATCAAGATAGTAACTGTTGTATAATGATTGAAATTAGAGCTAATAAAAAAAATAATAAGATACAAAAGTTAAGGAGTAAGCTGTTATAGTGATTTTTTTAAAATATATATGTTTACAAATTATGATATTTTTATTCTATACAGGGTCTGTAATAATTATGTGAATCGTGATAAAGGTAAAAAATTGAGAATTTGAATTTAATATAAAAGTTGTTTGATCTTAATTCATTTACTAATATCATATTTTTATTTTAAAAAATCAAAACTGAGAAAGTTTGATTCAAGATAGAATTACAAAGGTTTTATACAATTTTAATATCTTGACCCATCATACCATTTTTCAGAGTCAGTTTCTTCTGACATTTATTATTAATGGCCACCTTGTACCAACTCCCACATTTACCTTAAAATTTATTAGTAGTGTTATTTTTATAATTATCATAGATAAATTCCTAATCTTGTTCCTTAGTGCCTCTTCATAATCGACTGAATTTATTTACATTTCAACCACTACTTACGCCCTATACATTATAGATCATGTGAGGCCTTTGTCTTAAAAATCATGCCATAGGACATATGTTCTATGATGTAATTTTCAAGACAAAAACCCATGCATGTGTTCTTATTTGACATTATACTAATTTAAATAAAGGTGAAGCAAAGATCAACAACTATATAAGGTATATATTCACATTAGTAAATGTAAAAAAGGAAATAATAATGTTAAGGTAAAAAAAAAAAGGTAATGCATAGGATATATATAGAAAAAAGAAAACAGATAAAAGGTTAATAGGAAAGGTATGCACAATAATACAACTAAATAGGCTTGAAGGAAGCAAAGCCAGTAAAGGTAATAGCAATATTAAATTTCAAAGATAATTTTTTGCCAAAATAATGTTAGATATGTTAGGCAAGTGAAGCTGATAAAAATTTGGTGAATGCTAGTAAATCTGGATATTAAATATAATACTCAATGAGAAAATTAGGTTGAACCTCAAAAATTACAATTCTAACAAGAAACTTCTTAAATATTTAATATTACAGAGTAGAGGTATTTAAAATAAGATTTTATTATATGCAGATGTATAATAGGTTTTTACTGTATATCATAATAACATCTTAATTTGCTTTATTTTTATATAGCTATTTACATAGATTCTGAGACAAACTAAAAATTTTGCTCATTTTTATGTCTTCTTAGCCAATACAGTCAAACCTCTCTAAATGCATGCCCTTAGAGCCATACTTTAATAACATGCATATAGAGAATAATAAGAAAAAGTGCACTTATAGCAAGTATATATTTGGGCTGGTACTTAAGCATACATTTAGCGCTTATAGAGGGTGCACTTAGAGAGATCTAACTGTATTTATTATAGTGTTGGCCTACACGAGCATTATCGATTACAACTACTCTTATTACAGACAATTCTCTATAAGTGCATTTATGCAGGATCAATTATATACAGGCCACTCTCATTATTATATTGAGAAGCTTTTTTATATAAACTAGTCTTGGGTGGTTCACTATAGCATATAATGAGAGTGACTTATATTTGTCACAAAATTACTGAAATGAATTTAGGGGCAACTAAAAAATTGATCTATAATTACTTTTGTCAATTGATAAGTTTACTAATTCCTGATGATCAAAAAAATCAAAGAACATGCTTTGATGTAGTTCCCATAAGTAATTTTCTAATTTTTAATTTTTTGTAATATTTTGGTATTACATTTAACTTAATATGTATTACATATGTCCTTGATTCATAGATTGACTTAAACAATCTAAGTATTTTATGATGATTGTAAAATTAATTATTATTCTGGTTAGTTGAATTCTTTAAAGATAACTATGCTAAAATTCTTATAATTTTGTTTTTTCTTTCAGAGTTTGATAATAAGTATGTTTATGGGATTTAAAGTTTTTTACTCATATGCGAGTACTAACAATATGTGAAATAGATTATTTATACTAGAAGTCAGAATGTCAAGGTTTGTATATAATTCTAATCTTAGTCTTCTAGCAATCAAAAATGAATAATAAAAATGCTTATATTAATTTAAAAATTTGTAAAGTTATTAACAAAAAAAATATGAAATTTTTTTTATTTTATATTAATAAAAGAATTTTATTATAATTTATTAGTTTAATCTACTAGCATATTTAAATGTAATTTGTAAATAGAATGATATAATAAAAGTAGTAATTTTTGACAGTCAGCATTAATTTCATGTAATTTTTTAAGAAAAATTGATTTTATTATTTTTATTTTAAAGAAACCTGGTATTCTTATAAAGGATCTTTACCAATAATACTTCTATTAAATTTTTACTAGACCTTACCTTAAATTTGAACTATCAATTATATATAATATATAGAAATGGTGTAGTATTTTATAAAGATTCCCAAATACAGCTAGACAACCTCTCTAAGTGCATGTCCTTAAGACCACACTTTAATAACATGCATATAAATAATAATAAGAAAAAGTGTACTTATAAAGGTTAAGTATATATTTGAGCTGGCACTTGAGCATATATTTAGAGAAGTCTAACTATATTAATCTTTTAAGTCTACACTCTATTTTGTATCTTTTATGAAGTCAATCTTAGATTTCACTATATAAATAGTCATGATGTAATATAACCTGTACAGTCAGACTTCTTTAAGTGCACATCCTTGAGATCATACTTAAATAACATGTATTTAAAAAATAATAAGAAAAAAGCACATTTAT